AAGAACACAGGGGAGGTCAGACGAAGAAGATGATGGTGGAGGTGCGGGAGGGAAGTGGCGGAGGAAGCTGCGTTGGTCACTTATCACAGCCCCGAAGACGAAGACGAAGACCAGAGAGAAGAAGACGAAGCGGTGCACTTCACTTCTCCTCGTGTCGTCTGTTGCTCTTGTCGTTTGCGGGTTGTTTGGAACAGTTGAGAGGAAAGAGGAAAAATTGGAAAGGCGCATTCCGGATTCTACGTGTTGCATGCTGTACGTCGCCCTTTGCGGAACACCGAAGGAAGTCCTTCCTTGAGATGGTGTTTTCCGCTGGTGATTGCGTCGAGATGTGATCCACTAAAGTGGGGAAAAAGATAAGATACACTAATGACTAAGCCTCATCCCACATTGTGGATCTCAGTCCAGCAAGTGGGGGGCGGGGGCACCTGAGTTCCCTCCACATTTTTCGACGTCTGTCCACCACCACCCCCACCACCATCATCATCATCATCATCATCATCATTATCAACAACGTTTCTCGTCTTCTTCCCACGATTCAACGCCCCACGGCAAACGTCAGCAGAACTGTTTGATCGCCTATGCAAAATACTCTCGGCGGCCATAATCCCTCTCGAAGAAGCAACCCAGTCAATCCCTCCTCTACTCTGATTCGTTCTGGGCGATGCAGAGGCTTCTTGGGCTTTGCTGAGGGCCCAGGCTGGCTACCTGCAGGCCCCAGGTACTTCGCCTTGTGCAGGGCCGCGAGGCCACACTACACTTAGGTATTCGAGTGGCGTGAACAATCATTACCTCATCCGGTCCTCTATCCTTGCTCCTCGCTGCCCTCGGCCAGCTGAGCTGTTCATTTTGGCAACCGACACTGCCCAGACATTGCCCGGGATTCGAGAGAACAGACAAGATACAACAAAAGACTTGGCTCATGTTGATCGAGTGGGGCAGTTCACGGCCTTGGTTGGAACCCCGCCTCGTGCTGTCATGGTATTCGACCCGCTTGCAAGTACGACGGCGGCCCTACGTAGTAATCCTCGACAAGACTTCATGCACATCACAGCGGCCGCCTTCGAGGACAGCTGTGTCATCTTTGCTGGACAGTCCTCAAGGAACGAATCCAGTCTTCGCAGCCTGTCAGCCTACCAACGGTTCTCTCTTGATCAAAACAAGACTGCCGTATTCTCCCGCCGTCTGACGGTGTTACGCTCCGGCAAATAGGATCTGACTGTGTCACCAAATGCACACTGTACCCTGTTCTGCCAGAGACAAGCTCGCAGCGCCCAGCAGGCATACCGGTGTACAGACACTGTGAATGGAGTAATGAGATGCTCAGCTAAGATCTTCACTCCACAAAGTACAACTCACCGTCCGACATGTCACCTCGGAGTTTGCCCAACGGAAAATGAGCGACACAACAGTCACGAAAGAGGGCCTGAGATCAGATATCTCTATCATCCAGGCTTAGACTCCAGGATACGAAGTCGCCTGGTCTAATAACCATCTTTGATGGACTGACAAACGAAAAGCACAATGTCCCGAGATCTGCGCACATGGAAGCATGTTCTAGGGGCACGGGAAGCTGCTTCATCGAAGATCCCTCTCCGCGGTGGCCTGCTGCCGGCCTGGTGGCCTTTGACAAGTGGAGAAGGCGATCAGTTCCGAACAGACCAGGGGTTGAATCGATGGTGGCGGCGGTTGGAGTCAGAGTTGGAGACTCGAATCAAAGACAGGACGCGCAACTACCAACCGTTCGCCATATTCTCATGGACTTGCCTTTTTCGGCAACCAACTACAAGAATCTCGAATTTCGACGCCTGTCTTATTCTGATTGACAAAAGTTAATCGCAGTAAAGTTGCTGTTCGTCCCCTGTCAGCTCGCACCATCACAGGCCATCTCTAGGCCTCGACTCCGTAGGTTCGTGAGGCTGTTCATAACATAGGTACCCGACAATCCCTGAACCGAACAGTTGGATTTTCTTTCATGTGAATCATGTTAACGCATGAATTCTGGCGGATCCTTCAGGGTAGCTGAAGCAAGTGCTGACAGTTTGCTGTTCATTCGTTTATTCCCAGCCTCGTTCCTGAATCCACTACGTTGATTCCAATTCTTCATGTCGAACAAGACCTCGTCTTCTCTTTTCAAGCTTGAAACAGTCTACCTATGGATTGATTCCCAATTCATCCCAGGCATTGGCATAATGTTGCAGCAGTCTTGACAAGCCGATTTCCCTCGTCGTCTTGCCTCGCCAAACCGGCATCCGCGGCAAGCGTTACCGTCAGCCAGTTGAAACCCCCTCCTATCAGAGTTCCTGCAACGTCAGGACATCCGACATGTTAGTCAATCAGCACCTACTTTGTGAGAGGCCTGAACATAGATGAGGGCACAGCTCTTGAAACGGGCCCTCTCGGCGAGCTCTTCCGAACCCCACGTGTGTCTTCGATACGCTTTTCCCCTGCTTCGATTCTCCGGCCTCTTCTCGAGTGGGCTATGTCCCCTCAGTTCCCAGAGCTCTGGTCGGGAGAGCAGGGAACGAAGGCCGTGAGCTCTGGACTCTCGAGCCGAACTGTTCTACCCTCGTTCTTGCATAACGAACATCGTCAGGGCGAGCCGCGAGCTTGGGCCTCGAGCACGCCTGATCAGCTCTTGTCAACCTTGTACATCGCGCCGTTGCCTCATGTCATGCAGGCCAGAACTACATTCTCTCATCATCAACGCATCCGTGCTCACTTCTCTTTCTTCCGATCCTCTGGGTCTGACATATTCAACACTGAGCTCAGCATGACCAGCAGCACAAGACGAACATCTGAGCCTGGCTCTACCGTTGCCCGCTCCTCAGCCTCGGCCGGCAGCTGGCATCGGACTGATCAATAATCGTCCCGTTGTCTTTATCTCAAAGATACGGGAGTACAGGCTTCAGCCCCAAATCCACAACGCAGGATTCTGTATACCTTCCATCGTACGCAAATAGCCCGCCCTCGATCTTGATATTGTCGGAACATATCCGCTCCTTCTCACATGTTTCCTCCCTTCAGCCGTAAAACAGCCCCAAAACAATTCATGCTGCCCAACTCACGGAACTCGTGGAACGTCATCAAACAAGACTGTTATAGGTCACCAAGAAGAACGAATCTTGACCCTGCGTCGGGGAATATTCTACTGCTGATTCCTCATTCCCCGTTCCGGTCCAAGCTACCAAGCCACCGTCATCAACTCTGTCGCACGTTCAGAAACGCTGAACAGGACTGGGAAAACGGCTCAGCCAAGGATAATTGGACACAGCTTCGAGAAGCAAAAACACGTAATTCGTCGCCGCCGCCGCCGCCGCATGAAATAAGCCCCCTCCCCGAATTCCTCACGTCCTTCCGGACATCTCCAAACGCCCGTGCGACTGTGGTGATCCCGTCACGTCAGCCACAAAATCACAAGCTAACAAGAAGAGAGAAGGCGTCAAAAAAAAAGAGAGTTCCGCCGCCAACGCCAACGCCAACGCCAGTGCCAGTGCCACTGCCCGCGCGGAAGGAAGGAAGGCGGGCGGGAATAAGAAGCAACCAAGGAAAGCTGCGTGTCTCTCAACGGTCCGCTGGAAGAACATGGCGCGACGACGACGAAGACGAATGGATGAGTGACCATCGTACGGGAGCGAAGAGGGACGTGTGTAAGTGCGCGCGTGTGCGTGCGTGTGTGTGCCTGGGACTAGACCAGAAAATCAATCGGGCCCAGTGCCGAGAGGCATAAGACGTGGGATATGGATAGTAGTAGTAGTAGTAGGTAGTAGCCCGGCAAGGCTAATGCAACCACTTCGACAATCAGCCTGCAACCACCTTGACAGAGAAAACGCACGTGGTGGAGGAGGGGGACACGGAGGAAGAAGCCCATTGTGCTACCCAACCTCTTCCCTCTCTTCGTTTCTTCTACCGCCATCAGCAAGCAACATAGCACAAGCGAGTATTCGGACCTAACGCTGCCGCATTGCCTCCCGTGAGACAGACACATGAAGCAAAGCGATCGAGGTTGCGTCAGATCCCGGTGTACGTACGTGTGTGGTGTAGAAGGAAGACGAGCAAGCGCGCGCGCGCGCGCGTTCTCTCTTTCGCAAATGCTCGTCTTTCTGTGTTAAGGCATGATGATGACGCATCTTTCGATTCCTATCTGATTCCTCCTCCCTGGCGCTTCTCGATTCCTACTCTTTGCTATTTCCGTTTCGTGCTTGTGCTTGCTTGCGGCTGCTTCGACCATTATTCATCTACGCCTTTGCCTCCTCCACATGCTCGTCCGACAAACAACAGGCTGACGGCATAAACTCCGCAAACGCACAATGGAGATGGAGAATATACTCTGACTCCTTCCGATGAACCGCCGCCCCACTCTACTCATTGCTTCAAAGCATAGACTCCATGATGATCTTCCGCTATGATATCAAAAATGACTAAGAGAGGATGAGGATTAAGGAAGCAAAGTGAGAAGAAAATAATCCGAAGATATCAATTATTTGTCCGAAGATTTTTGAAGAGAAAAAGAATATACGTTCTGCTTTGCCATTGATGATCTGATCCAAATGACCGTGCACTTTTTTTTGTGTCTGTCCGTCCCTCCATCCGTCCATCCGTCTGTCCAGTCCCCCGAGATTCTATCGTGTTGCCCGTAACGAGTGACTTCGTTCGTGAATGCCACGCCTGAAAGCATGAGTCTTTTCGCGAAGAGGGAAAAAGAGAATATGCCACCCATATTTCGCCTGGTCTGCTAGGAAAAAAAGAAGATTGTTCAACGCCCAGGAAGTTAAAATGTACAAGATATTCAATCCAAAAAGTCCGTTCCAATAATCCACAGTTCGCCTCTCCATAGATACTCCTTGTTGTAAGTAGTGGGTAGTAAAATGCTCGTATCGGTCGTGTCGAGAGCCCCAGGGTCATCTTCCTTCTTCCGGAAGATGGATTAACTCTCATCCTTCTTTTTTTGTGTCCGTATGCCGTTTTGGTTTTTGATGATGCGCGTGCTGGTCGGTGCGTGGCTAAGCATAGCTCATGTCTCCCTTGCGATGGCTGACGACTTCGAGGGTGGTACCCAGGCTGTGGCCAAGGTAACCAATCATAGCCTTGCTGACCTCTGGGTCTTCCGAGAGATCGGCACAAACCTCACGGAACTGAGCGTAGACCTCTTCCAGCTTGCGAAGCTCGCGGTTGAGGATCTCGAGCTCGAGCCACCTTCCGTCCTCACCTCCGAGCGTGTAAGCTCCGAGACTGACGCCGAGGCCGCCTCCGGGACTGAGCTGGTTGACCGTTTGCTGCAGCATGCCGTTGTCGAAGTAGGTGTGGCTGGCGTTCTTGTAGAAGCTGGTGATCTTGCCGATGACGGTTGCGAGGAGCATCGCGGCGGTGTGGGTTCCTGAGCGACTCATGCAGCGTGCGCAGGAGAGCATCGCGGCGCATCCTTCGACGGCTTTGCGGTTGAGAGAAAGGACGAGGTCGAATGGCGGTGTCGAGGGCGAAGATGCGTTGTGAAGAGCTTGGAGAGATTGAAGACAGACGGTGAAGCAAGTGCATGAGCCACCTCCTCCCGAGTTTGAGGACTTGTGTCTGACGGCTGGTCGCATGTTAGGTGTGGTTGATGGGCTCGGGAAATATGCTGCTGCGGCCATGGTGTTGGGCGTTTGCATAGCGCCATATTGCATCAGACCGTCATGTTGCATCAAACCGTCAGGTTGTGTCGCGTCTCCCCATGGCGCCATATGAGCAGTCATGGCCATATCCATCGACTGAGATCGGCTGTGATGAGGGCCCATGTGTGCGGTAGCCATCGTCATGTCGGGATAGGGAGCTCCGGAGAAGTCGTTAGGAGGTGTCCATGGCATGGCGCCCCCGTACATATCGGATGTGTGATCTTGGCGGTCTCTGGGTGTCGTGTCGTCGACGCCCAAGAGAGCTAGTCCGGACGAAATTGACGGGTTTCTGGTCATGGCACCCTCCATGCTGTTCGGGGTGTGCCAACCGGGCTCCATCTTGTACATGCCACCCGGGTGCTGAGCAAACATCATGTTCTTCTCGTCCATTATGGGGGAAAGGTCGGTCATGTCCATGTGAACGGTGTTGGCGTGGCTCGGTGCGCTGTTGTCAGATTTGGGCTTTCCGGCCCTGCTAGAGGGCGAATATCGACATTCGAGGCCGCAGGCAAGGCATCTTGAGCAGATGGGCCGCGCCTTGGAGCATTTGACCTTGGCAAGAAAGCAGCCGTCGCAAGAAGCCCGAAGGCGAGGTTGTCGGGGCTTGCTTGAAGACATTGTTGATTAAGACGAGTATCTCTCAAACGGTAAAAGATCAACTCTTGAAGAAAGAAATAAAGAAATGAAGGGTATCTTTGGTCTAACGAAGAAGTACAGGTCCGGAGGATGAAGTGAAGGCGGAGGGGCAAGCCACTATTAAAGAAATGGACAAGGGCGGAGAGTATTAAAGTTCTGAAGGCGGTGCGAGTGAGATGTCTGTGTGAGGATCGAGTGCGTGTAAGGCGGAGCGGGATTAGAAAGCACTATTCAGGCTTCGTGTAAGGGTGCGATGAAGTGCGGGAAGAGCCCCGAGGCCCACGGATCGTGGTCAAGGGCGAAAGTGAGCGGAATCTGGCCGGCTGCGAGGTAGACAGGCGACGACGACAACCAAGATGTAAAAACGGGGTCACGAAACAGGAACAGAAACGGTCACGGCCATTACCCAGAGTCCAAGAGGGACGAGCATGGAGTGAGAGTCCGGGTGTTTCTTGATGAAGGGACGAGAGAAGTAGCTTGTAAGAGCGAGAGGCATGAGACGTGGACGAGAAGGAGCGGACGTTGAACGGTTAAAAAAGCGAAGGCCTGATTTAGATATGCTATGCCGTTGGCTTATACAGACTGGAGGAGGTACAAGTCCATGTACATGGGGGCTGAGACCTTGGGTGAGAGGGCGTGGGCAGAAGGGACCAAGGTAGATCTGGACGGCCCACGCCAGAGGCAGAGGAGACAGGCACACACACATCGAGAGAGTCTTGTCTTAACATAAAGGTGTGTCTCTATGCGGTATGCCAGCTTGGGTGAGAGTGTCTTGTGCAAACCAGTTATGTGTAAGAACGAGGACCGACTAAGAACAGTTTAAGGGAATAAGAAAAGTGCCGTGTACTGACCTGGCAGTATTGCAAGGCCAAGTATCTTTCGGCCATCGTTGGGTGTGGTGGACATGGGCTGGCTCTCTCGCAGAGACCCTGGACTTTCAAGTGCAAGAGGATTGGATAATTCTCTGTTCCGCGCAGGCTAGAGCTCGCTCGCCCGCTTGGGCGAGGTAACCTGACCAAGAGAAACAGACTCGGCACCCAGCCGACAGCTCAGCACGGAGGCAAAACAAAACTGAAAAGTTAGGCCAACAGAACCGGTTGAGGCATGGTTAAGACGATTTGGGCCGGATGATGCCTTAACTGGGCATGCAATCAACGTAGGTGGCACTTGCCCGAGCCGGTGTGAAGAGAGAGCGGAGACATGACAAGGAAGGCATTCAGATGCATGTGTAGAGAGAGGAGGGGATGATGGCCATTGTTTCTTGCCGATTTCAGCTTCTCCAGCTTTCCCCATTTCAAGTTGGCCATGGCAAGATTCTGCCGGTAGTGGATGCAAATGGGAGTTCCCCATATCGACATCCAGATTGCCGGAGTAGGATGGGTGGACGGATGTTGATGATCATCCTCATCCTCATCCGTCAAGCGGCTGAACAAGTATGACTGGAGAACAAGGGGCAGTGTGAATGAAGACGACGAATGTTGGCTCGTGCGGATGGGTGATCCCTGGATTGCGGCCTCTGGTGCGCTGTACTGTGTGCCGTTGTTGATAGTAAGGTAGTCCTGGGCAGATGGTGGTGATGGTGGGTGCGTGCTGTCCGAAGCTGAGAAGCTGAAGCTACGACCCTCCCGGAGATAGGGATGGGGTACCCTGCTCAAGGATAAGGTAAAGACGTGGGACGGTACAAACGGTTCGTTCCAAGTTGGCGTAAGAAAAAGTAAAATGGACGTAGACGGGAAACTGGGGCAATGGAATGGGAGTGATGACGCTGGACAAATTGAATAACTCGGGTTGTGCAATCAGGTCTCTTGCCTGCTATGCCCATGCATAGGTATGTACATTGGACGCATGGTAAGGTCGAATAAGGCACGCAAGGTACCGAAGGGTAAGTAGGGCAAAAATATGTAGAGCAAGGCCATAACAGCTCAGGCGTATCTGTGGGCAGCGAGAGCTCGGGCGGACCCAGGTCAAAGGGCAAAGCCTGAGCCTGTCGACGACGAACGTTGAATGGGCAATGAACATAGGGAAACGAGCCGTGGGGGGGGAATAAGGATTGTATCCGTGTGAAGGCTTTCCTTCGCCCTTCGGGGACCAGAAGAGGGCAGGGGGAAGATCGGATTGGGCCAAAAGGATAAACGGGATAGGATACTGAAGTGGTCGCCGTAGTTCCGTAAGCCGGGCAACGAGGACAGGCCGTGTGGTGGAATGGCTCGGCCGATTGGAACAGATCAGGCGTTGGTCTGAGGGCCAAGGAGTGTGCGAGGTCGACGTCGACGTCGTCAACGGGGGGCGAGATCAAGAGGAGGACGGAAGGGGAACGGACGCCAAGAGACGGTTGGCAAGGCTGGTTGGTTGGTTGGATACTCGGGGCGCGGATGTCGGTACGGGCGCAGTCTAATGTTGGCTGGTTGTTCCATTGTCATGTCGATTCCATTGTTTCGAGGAGAGGGCGCTAGGTGTGCAAGCTAAGGTGATCTGTATGTCTCTGGGGTAAAAGGCGGAGGAAAGACGGAGTTTGGAAGTGGGATAAGTGGGATGAATGTCAGATTCAGGTGCGGTGTTGTTGATAGCCCGGCGGGCATGGGTTGGAGGTTGGAAAACGGTTCGAGACAACCCGAAGGAAATGGAACGGCAACATTGGTTGATTGGCAGACTTGGTGCTGTCTACGGATAGGCAATTCGGGGTGGAAAGTGAGATCCAGCTTGTGATGAATTGGAAGACAGCGGGAAATCGGTTAAGCACGAGGAACGTGCCTTTCCTCTACCCGTACTACTACTACCTACATTAGTGGCTGTCTCGTCCCGCAAGCCCGAGGAAGGAGAAAGAAATGGAAAACGGCAAAACAACGAAACAACGAAACGTCAGCCAATGGATAAGGTAAGACGAAGGTGAAATACGTACCTGTCTCTGGCAGTCTCACATCATGTGACCAACAGACAGATGCTGGGCTGACATTGCTGTTCTCTATCTACGGTATTTAATGTATTGTGGTATCTATCTTACATAGATACTCCCATGCCAATTGATTGTGCATTTCCTCAGCTGCAACTGCATGATTGCCTTACTAGTGACCATATCCCTATGTACAGAGTGGCACTGTGAGAGTCAGACCAAACAATCCTGTCATCGACTTGAATGTATGTATGCCTTGACGGTATCCGAAGTGCCCAAGTACGTATTACATGTGGCCTTACCTCGAGGAAGCACTTTATGCTCCTCCCCTGCTCTCTCTCTCTCTCTCTTCCCTTGCAATGCGTCCTAGCTGCTTCCTCCCACTCCGTTTCCTGTGTTAGTGAGATGTCCAAGAATGGTATAGAGCGGAATGCACGACACGAAAGTCGGACCCCTGGTCTTGCAGCATCCGCCAGCAGGGGCCCTCCCACCCTCCCTCCACTCCTCCACAAGTTGATTCTCAATGTCGGTCGGGGTGAGTGAGATCCCCAAAAAAAATCCCCTTTCCTCCCCTTGACCATGATGGATGGAGCTTGGGCCATATCATATCCGGTACGTATCGCGTCCATCTTCTCCCCTGCTAATAAGGTAGGTAGACAGGTATTCGTACCAGTCGAGTCGAATTCCTATCTCTTTTCTTATTTTTATTTGATTTCTTTCATGCGCATCATGCTTTTCTTCGCCGTCCACGTTGCAAATGAGGCGTTCTTGGAGAAGCGCCAAATAGTGTAGTCCACAAGAGGCAACCGGGGTCTACGTGCGTTTCCATCACAGCATACGAGGTAATGATCTCCAGCACGCGTCGCCGTATTCTCTCACCCTGTCTATACGATACTAGATAGCTTTAGTGTCAGCCAGGGAGACGGGGATCCGGCACGCTGGCATGGAATCCAAATCACGAACTTGAAGGAGGCCATAACTCCAAATGAATTGTGGGATAAATTCAATGCATGCTCATGCTTGCTAACGTATTCTGTGCTCACAGCATATCATCAATACAGCCAGACCGTACCCTACCGTACCGTACCGGTGCTCAGGTAGACTCTGTGCAGCCATCTGCGCTGCGCTGCGTGCTGCACGAAGCCAGTCGACATGCGTTGCCCGACTTTGCATTACGGATATGCGGTATCGGGACCAGGTCATCGGGTGATGCATCAATCAATCTTCGTTTTCTCACCTACCAAAGTCCGGTGTTCTGAAGGACGGTATAGACTTCAAGACACGATACAAGGACAAAGACCTTGTTTCTTTTACTTCAGTGTCAGATCCTAAACTCTATCAAATGACGAGCGACATGTCTAAGACGCCCTGCCCTGGTTGTGATAAGGTAAATCTGTGTCTGCATGTGGCAGGCTGACTGCCCTGCCTCGTCCTGCTGCCCTGCTGCCCTGCGCCTATGTTTGCTCAACTTAAGGTATTCGACGACAGGCTCACAGATAACAGTGCAACGGTCCATCGTATCCGCGCCATGTTCACTTCACGTCAAAATGTGATGCACCTGGCTTGGCGACAGCTGAGATGAAGGAAAGACATACTTCCTTCGGATATAACAACCACCACTAGGAATTGACTCTTCGGTCTTTTGGGAGGCGCATTAAGTTTTGGCGAGTCCCTCGACGGCCCGTTATTGTGATTCAGATGGCTTGGAATCGGAAATGAAGAGATGGCTGTTTACTTGGATTTTCCGAGTGTGCTCGTCATCACTAGATGTCTCACTCTGCTGGATATCAAAGTCATTGAACTCCAGAGGCTAAAGGAGTTGACAATCCGATATGTCCAGGTCGACGCCGTGTCCCCACGTTCTGCTTTCCTTTTTGAGAAGGCGTCCCTC